TGCTGGGAAATCCTGGCCTGTTTGTGTCATCATCTGTGTCTCCAGTCCACATGTAGGCTCCTTCTCTTCTTCCCTTCCTACTCCGTAGACATTAAATGTGGAAGGGTCAGTTTCCTTAAGCTCCGCTTACCCGCACCACCTTTATTGAGGAGGTTTCAGTATGGAATATTGCTTAAAAACTGGGAATGCTTAGTCATGGTATTTCAGCTGAGATTGCTCTTTCTGTAGTTTGGGCCAAAGAAGAAACCCTGTGCTCAAATAAGGGTTTGATGCGGGTAAAATAATAATATAAAAAAAAATTAAAGGGCTTTTGGCCCCCTGCGGATGATACCCAGGGGATTGCTGCCATACCAGTCAAGCCATTTATTCACTCATTTACTATTCAAAAATGAAATGGTGTAAAATATTGGAGAAGGAGAGGTTTGTTTTTTCTTTCTTTCTTTTTTTTTTTTTTTTAATGGCTGATGCAAACATATTGACTGGTTTTGCATTCCAATCCATAGATAAAGAACTCTTATCTTTAAAACCACAAAAGAAAAAGCACCTGTAGCCCCCTTCTGCAAAACTCCACAAAGACCCTCGAAACTCCTGCCAGCCCCCACAAACTTTTGAACTGGTCTGTTCATGGTCTGCAACTCTGAAGAGAAATGTGCATAGGAGCAACCACACTGATGAGCTGAATTATACCTGAGTTCATTCTGTTTTGGTTTTATCTGAGCTTTGTACCATAAATACAAATATCTGATGTCAGAATTTTACATATGCAAGTTTATAACTTTGAACTTGAAAATGTCAAGTATTTTGTGATACTATTTTGAAACTCAAACTATTTCTTACCGTAGAACAGGGATCATCTGAAATCCATTTATTTTCTCAGTGATTAAATCTGAAATTTCTTACATTTATTTAGATATCTATCTCAGAACTTTAATTAGTTGCTTTTAAACTGCTGTAGGACAATAGTCTGGACTGTTGCCTCAGTGGTAGTTGTAGCTGTTCTGAATGTGACAGTGTAATGATACATCTATTTAATCAGAGCAAAATGAAGTCATGTTTCATATGACTAATCAGAAGGGTAAGCTTTCCTGAAGGTACGTAAAGGAGAAACTTCTGAAGGTTAACCTTAGCCTAAGGAAGTTCAACTGTGTGGCTGTGGAGTGACCCGTGGGAGAAGCCAGCTTTAGGAGCTCCGTCACCTCCTGGAAGATGTTCTCCCAGTGTGAGGGGTGTCCACACCGGTTTGCATGGCATGCACCCCTCATCTCCCAGGAACTCTGTTCCTTTTGGCTTCCGAAAGTAAAAGGGACGGAGTAGACATCTGTGAAGTTATCAATGCAACCTATTTTCCTGCATAAAGAGCTGCTGAAACGAGGGTAAACAGAGAGGGAGAATTCAGAGCGTTGTGAATTTCTGCAGAGCATCTGAAGATGAGCTGTAGGAGCCTTTCAGCCCTTCCGTGCAGGCTCTTGTAGAGGTCAACAGTGTTCCTCAAGACTACACTGGTACTTGGATGTGTCCAAGAGAGATGACCAGCTTCATCTTTGCAGGAAGATGATGGTTGTTCTTCTGTCAGTTGTGTCTGGAGGTACCATTACAGGGCAGAATCCCATATCAGAAGAACATCATGAGAAATAGTCTCTGCCCCTACGCTTTCTGGAATGATGGACTGTAGAAGGTGAGCTAAATAGATGCAGGCATCCTTAAGCAGACATGATGAATGTGTTAAGCAGCGAGGAGTGTGGCTAACAGTGATCAAAGCAGTCCCAGCTGTCAAGCCATTGTGGCTCTGGAGGAAGATGAGGGAAGGCAGAGGACTTTGCATCGGTCTTGTGGAGATCTGCTTCCACGGACTGGTTGGATTTGCGAGGACAAGAGACGTGCAACTTACATGAAACTAAATTCCTCTGATACCAATGCAATATTTTAAAGTGAAAAAATTAAACAATTCAAATGTATCTCAACAAGTTTCTGATCATCTTCGTAATTCTGATCTTGACTTACCAGTGTCTGTTAAATCGTCTGTAATGCACTTTGTGGTATTAGAATCTCAAACATAGATGCATGATGGAAGTCACTGTGAAAGAGAGGTCTAAACGTCGTGGTTTAGGTGTATATGGTTCTCCTGTAATAGAAGTTTTATGCACATCCTAACAATTTTCCAAGCCCAGAATGCGTACGCAGTTACCCTGTTTGCGTAACAGAAGGGTCTGATGGGGAAAATACGGAGCGATTGGGTAATGTATCTGTAGAGGCTATTTAAAAAGGGATGCTTTTTGAGATAATGTGCTTTATATAGAAAATAAGGAGTTTTGAATTAACATCTAAGCCTCTAAAATGCTTTTTCCTGAAGGAAAACAGTTTCATTTAAGATCCCAGGTGCATGTTAAAGTTGTCTTATGACAGTAGACAGTAATTTATTTTCTCTAGGCTTCTGTTCTCCTCCTCTTTCTGCTGTTTAGATAAAATCTAATAATGCTAAGCATAATAACAAGGTACATTTGCTCTGTAAAAGTTTGTGTTTGGGTTAGAGGAGAAGACATGGAGTCATTTTTCAGTCCCATTCCTATTTCTGCTGTTGTCTCACAAGGACATGATGCAAGTTTTAGTTACCCGTAAGTAAAATCAGTGTAACATCATCTTCCGATTCCAAAGGGCATCAATTTGATCTCCAAGATCTTGAGTTGAAACCTTCATGCAATTAAAGATTATTTTCAGCTCCTCAGAAGAAAAACAGAGCTTGGGTAGCGTGTCCTTGATTTGATTCGATGTCATCCTTGTCTTTGCTAATGCACTTATATGGAAAGTAGCCCTAGCAGGATGAATTTTAAATGTTCTCAGTGCAAATAGCGTAACTGATCCTTCACTTGCTTTTTTTTTTTTCCCCCAGTCAATTTTGACAGCATCTTTCTCTTCCTCTTGGCATTGCCTCTCCCTCCAGTCGTTCTTTGTCCACGCCTGTAGCTCCCAGCCCAGCTTTCGGCGGTGCGGAGCGCCCCGTCGTCACTCGGGGTGGGACCTGGGGGTGGTTGTCGTGCTCGTCACCCAGGTGTGTGAGTTTGTGTGCGGGCACAGGCAGTGGGTGATGGCCCTGGAGCTCCTCTCTGCTGGTTCCCGATGGTCCTCTTCCCTCCTGAGTGCTTTGCTTTGCGTGGTTTAGCCATCTTTTGAGTTTTTAGAGCTTCAGCCAGCTCCTCAGAGTATTTATGGTCTCTCCTATTCCATATTTTCTGGCCTTTTTTCCCCTTCTCACCCCTGCACGGAGGGGTCACCTTGTTTCTCCATCTTAATTGATGAGTAGGAGCGCAGCCTCTTGGTTACTCAGTGCTTGGATCCCTCAGTGCTTGCACTGATGAGCGACGATTGTTCTCACACTTAGTTAAAAGTTTAACTCTTTTCTGTAACTACTTGCAGGATATTTTCTGTAAAACTGAAGTGCGCTTTTTGCTTGATAGTTTGTTAAAGTAAAAATGGTTTAATGTGAGCTGTGTGGCTCGTTTTACTCTAGAAAGCTTGGATTTTACAACCCGGTGTAGGGTATGTTGAGGTTAATTGCAAGTACACGTCGTCCGACTTTTCAATAGAAAAGCCTTTTCCTGAAGTATTGTTTTTATCGGAAATTGGCGCCTAATATGCAAATAAACACCTATCTGTTCCTTTGTTTCCTCCTAGACTTTGTTTGTTTTAAACCTGCTTTGTTACAGTTCTGCTTACAGCTACAGCCTA